TCATCTCATTACACTGATTTACGGTAGTCTCGAAACCCTACTCAAATACGACTATAATTTAACTTGCCTCGTGAAAATTTTTCTAATTAAAGACACTAATTACATCGTTAAAATGTCTACAGTTTAGAGGGAAAAGCGATCATTAAAGTATGATCCTTTTCTTGTTTTTATCTTATTCTAGTTAGAGGGAATATAGATAAATAATTGTGTCCACTCAAAGAATTGTATCTATTTTTATGCAAATAGGCATACTGTTCAAATAAGTAGGCTAAAAATTAAATTTTTTGTTAGGTTCTCTGATAAATTAAGCACCAAATCCTTTTATCTATTACTTTTAGCGTGAGCATTCCAAGCTTGAAGTTTATTTATTACATATTTTATTGAAGGTCAAAATCTTCACTACGATTTTTTGATTTCCTTGTTTCAGCTGCAAGTTGACTAACCCAAGCTTTGTAACTGTACATTTCGCATGGCTACTGAAGATGCTTTCGGCATCACGCAGAATCAGTACTCTCCAGTCTCCTCCTTTAAATTGTGGACAAGGAAGTGAAATTGAATCGCAAACTTCAGTCGAAAAGGATGGAGTAGAGCTGATTGAAGATGAAAACAAGAAGACAAATGCAGAAACAGAAAAGAATTACCAAGATAGCGAAGAAACTGATAAAAAGACAGAACTATTATATACTGACTTGCACAAAAATCTGACGCCCTTCGGTGTAAAGCCCAGCGAAGGTGTTCTGCTTCCTGGAGAGTCCACAACGATAGAAGTCAGTAAAACCTGTAGTGCTATAATATTGCTTACTTTCACAAACTAAGAAATATATTAGCTAAGGTCTATTTTATCCGACTTCCGATCACAATATACTTATTTGCGTTGTTCTGATGTCAAGAGGGCTGTATTCATCTCAATTATTAATGCAATCGTCCTGTTATAACCTCATTTTTGGTAAATATGTGAGAACATAACGCATCTATATCATTTTTCTCCTGTTCTGACTACATGCAATACACTTAGGCCGACCATAAAAAGGATCACAATCAAGGTCGTCTCCATTATACTTAAGAGAACAGTGGAAGTTGCCATTTTTAGAATTTCATGTTTGTAAAATTGATTCCATAGACGACATCTTCAGACGGGTATTTATATAAACCCCTATGACAGGGTCCAATGAATATGAATAAGTAGGAATATTTATTGATGATTTATTTTGATATAAGATAGAAAATGTCCACCCCATTCATTAGCTTGAATTTTGTTGTGATGATGTTCGTCATATGACGGACAAAGCTTAACACCTTTTAACCGGAATCGAAGGAGATTACGTCGGAAACAACGTCAGCATGAATGTTCCAGTAAAGCCAATCGACGCTGGTCAAGAGGAATCCGCCGTCGTCTTCTGTTTGAATCGATCTTCGAAACTCTTCACCAAATACTTTCACTTGAAATGAAAGTAAGCACAGCAATTATAAAACGAGAGATTCCTCGAAACCCAACTTTTCTTCGCATATTTCATTATAGTTATTACGAAGGACTTCTATCTCACTTTATACAAATTCCAATATCGCATTAATTGCTAGCTACTTAGATACCAATAATGCTATTGTACATCACACAAGCCCTTCGCGTGTGTTAAATAATGGTTTTATTAGTTAAAATTAAATCTCACAGTACTTTACCTCTTTTCCCTTCGATACATCCAGGTCTCGTTCCAGCCTCTGGAGGCGAAAGCTCTTAGCGCAACATTATTTGCCCTCATCACCAATTCTACCTTATCTTCTCAGCCAACAAGCTCTTCTGATGAGTCGGCTTCGCCTAGTATGCAGGTTTCACAGATGGAGCTGCCAAATAACACACTTATGGGACTACCTTCGTCACCAAAGACTGGCTTTGCCACAGTTGCATGTAAACTTCCCGTCACTGGACTAGCACGCAGCCCCTTGGTTCACTTCGAGCTGGCTGAGTCTGACTATTTGGCTCAAGGCAGACGCAACCAACAGAATTTGCCGGGTCCTGGTCTTTTAGATCCAACGCATGATCCAGAAACGCGCATAATTGAGTTTGAAGCTGTTGGGATGGGTGTTAAAGTGATCCGGTGAGTATCGCAGAAATAAAACGGCCAAGTTGATCTTTATGGAACTGGGACCCCAGTAGAATTATGCAGATTTCCTTAAACACGTGTTTAATGCAGAAGAATACAGTATAAAAACTACCTCATACTTTATAAATGCTTTGTCTTATGGCGAAGAAGTTAGAGACGTGCACTTATGCTAAATAATTTTAAAGCGTCCGGCAAACAAATATAATGCTCGAGAAGATATTCTTTATTA